ATGGACCAGACCAAACCCTCTAAATATATATCAAATAAGTAGCCTATACTCTTAAACTTTTTTTATTTTGTTCAAAGGGAAGTGTAAGGCGCTGTGTTCCAGATATGTTTTGATTGGTCCACAACTAGGCTTTAAGCAAAACACACTATTCTCACAACACAGTTAAAACACTGGCACAACTATAACGCTATTGAAATACTTAACAAAATAATAGATTACATAACCACTAACTATTCCAACATAGCTGCATCCCATAAACACACCTGTGGTAACAGAAAATTCAGAACAGCACATAAGGAAATTCTACTGTGTCTCTAGTCTAGGAGAAAGGAACAGACAAACAAACAAACAAACAAACTACTGTAGAGACAGACAGAGACACAGAGGGAGCGCGCACACGAGCAGGCGAGAGACGCATCTATCAGCTTCAATAGCCAACTCCAAATCCCAACTGAAAGCAAAACTAAAACCCTGGTTTTGTGAGCCTGACTGCACCACTGACGCTTCTTTTGTCTTTTTTTTTTGAAAAAAGCACTTAGGGAGTTCACAGATGCTTAATAATTGCTTCTGAAGCAGGCATGGTGGCACCATGGTGTCAACACCCCTCTTCAAGAGACGCAGTACAGGAGAGCTCTTAAAGGCACTGTATGGTCACAGCCAGACGTTATCAGCTGCAGAAACAAGACATCAGAATGGTGCAGTTCTCACGAAGGGTCATCAGACCCGAAACGTTGACTCTGATCTTTTCTTCACAGATGCTCCTAGACCTGTTGAGCTTTTCCAGCAACTTTTGTTTCTCTTCCCAATTTAGAGTATCCGTAGTTCTCTCAGTTTTTAATTTTGTATCAGAATGGTGCGCTGCCTCCCTGTCGCCAGGATCAAGGATATCTTGAAGGGTACAGAGCATTCTCAAAAGTGAGAGGGACCAGCAAGAGGTTGTTGTACACATTAGAACTAAATGACACAGGAAGAGAAAAGGTTGAGGTTCTGAGGACAGAATATAGCAAATTAGGCAGAAATTTAAAAAGTAGGTCCTCAATGGTCGTAATATCTGGATTACTCCCGGTGCCACGAGCTAGTAAGAGTACGAATAGGAGAATAGAGCAGATGAACGTGTGGCTGAGGAACTGGTGTAGGGGAAAAGGGTTCACATTTTTTTGATCACTGGAATCTCTTCTAGGGTAGAAGTGGCGTGTATAAAAAAGGGATGGATTACGCCTGAATTGAAAGGGGACTAATATATTGGCAGGGAGATTTGCTAGTGCTGCTTGGGAGAATTTATACTAGTAAAGGGTTGGGGGGGGACCCAGGGAGATAGCGAGAAAAAAAGAGATCAGTATGATAATGGTGTAGTTGGGAAAAGAAGTCAGTCAAACAGTCAAGGGAGGCAGGAACAAAGCAGAGCACAAAGTAGGATTGATAAATTAAACTGCATTTATTTCAATGCAAGGGTTCTAACAGGTAAGGCAGATGACTCAGGGCCTGGTTGCGAATATAGGACTGGGATATCACAGCAATTACAGAAACATTGCTCAGGGATGGACAAGACTCGCAGCTTAAATGTTCCTGGGTATAGATGCTATAGGAAGAATAGAAGGGCAGGGGGGCAAGTGAGGAGGGAGGGGGAATGGTGTTTTTGATTAGAGACAACACTATAGCTGTACTTAGGGAGGATATCACGGAGTACGTCCAGGGAAGTCATTTGGATGGAACTGAGAAATAAGAAAGGGATGATCATCTTATTGGGATTGTACTATAGACCCTTCCCCCCGCTAAAACAGTCAGCAGGAAATTGAGAAGAAAATTTGTAAGGAGATCTCAGTTATCTGTAAGAATAATAGGGTGGTAATGGCAGGAGATTAGCTTTCCAAACATAGACTTGGAACTGCTGTAAGCGTCAAGGGCTTGGAAGGAGAGGAATTTTTTTTAAGTATGTACAAGAAAATTTTCTGATTCAGTATGTGGATGTACCTATGAGAGAAGGAGCAAAACTCGACCTACTCTAGGGAAATACGGCAGGACAGGTGACTGAAATGTCAATGGGGAGCACTGTGGGGCCAGTGGTCATAATTCTACTAGTTTCAAAAATGGTAATGGAAAAGTATAGACCGGATCTAAAAGTTAAAGTTCTAAATTGGAGGAAGGTCAATTTTGACAGTACTGGGCAAGAACTTTCAAAGTTTGACTGGGAGGCAGATATTCGCAGGTAAAGGGACGGCAGGAAAGTGGGAAGCCTTCAAAAATGAGATAACGAGAGTCCAGAGACAGTATGTTCCCATTAGGGTGAGGGGCAAGGCTGGTAGGTGTAGGGATGCTGGACAACGAGAGAAATTAAGGTTTTGGTCAAGAGAAAGGAGGAAGCATGTGTCAGGTATAGACAGCAGAGATTGAATGAATCCCGAGAAGAGAGCATAAAGGCAGTAGAAGTAAACTTAAGAGGGAAATTAGGACGGCACAAAGGGGATGTGACATTGATTTGGCAAATAGGGTTAAGGAGAATCCAAAGGGATTCTACAAATACATTAAGGACAAAAGGGTAACTAGGGAAGAGAACAGGGCCCTTAAAGATCAGCAAGGCTGCATAGGTGTGGAAACGCAGGAGGTGGAGAAGATACTAAATGAGTATTGCGCATCTGTCTTGACTGTATAGAAGGATATGGAAGATATGAAATGTGGGAAAATAAATAGCAATAGCTTGAAAAATGCCCATATTACAGAGGTGATGGTTCTGGACATCTTAAAACGCATAAAGGTGAATAAATCCCCAAGACCAGATCAGGTGTACCCCAGAATTTTTAGGAAGCTAGGGAAGTGATTGCCGGGCCCCTTGCTGAGATATTTGCATCAGTATGCCACAGGTGAGGTGCTGGAAGACTGGAGGTTGGCTAATGTGGTGCTACTATTTAAGAAAGGTGGTAAGGAAAAGCAAGGGAACTATAGATCGGCGAGCCTGACACCAGTGGTGGGCAAGTTGTTAGAGGGGATCCTAAGGGACAAGATTTACATGTATTTGGAAAGGAAATGGCAAATTAGGTATAGTCAATGTGGCTTTGTGCGTGGGAAATAGTGTCTCACTAACATGATTGACTAGTTGGAAGAAGTAACAAAGAGGACTGACGAAAGCAGCATGGTGAATGCGATCTGTATGGACTTCAGTAAGGTGCTCGACATGGTAGACTGGTTAGCAAGGTTAGATCACATGGAATACAGGGAGAATTAGCTATTTGGATTCTGAACTGGCTTGAAGACAGAAGGTGGTGGACAGTTACTCTTCTGACTGGAAGCCCATGACCATTGATATGCCACAAGGGTCAGTGGCGAGTCCACTGCTTTTTGCCATTTATATAAATGATATTAACCATACCTCCTATGTTCACACGCATAAGTTTGCAAATGATACCAAAAATGGTGGTGTAGTGGACAGTCAAGAAGGCTGCCTCAGAGTACAACAGGATCTTGATTAGATGGGCCAACAGGCCAAGGAGTAGCAGAGGGAGTTTAATTCAGATAAATGTGACATGTTGCATTTTGGAAAGGCAAATCAGGGCAGGACATACACTTAATGCTAAGGTCTTGGGGAGTGTTCTGAGGAAGGATCACCAGACCTGAAACGTCAACTGATTTTTCTTCATAGATGTTGTCAGATCTACTGAGCTTTTCCAGCAACTTCTGTTTTTGTTCCTCGTTTACAGCATCCGCAGTTCTTTCGGTCTGGATTTAGCCAAGGTCTTTTGCCCAGGTTAGCGGAATCCAAATCTTACAGCGTGGGTTTAAAAGGTGAGAAGGGAAAGATTTAAAAGGGACCCAAGGGGCAACATTTTCACGCAGAGGCTGGAGGCTGGTACAATTACAACACTTAAAAGCCATCCGGATTTGTACGTGACTAGGATGGGTTTAGAGGAATAAGGGCCAAATGCTGGCAAATGGGACTAGATTAATTTAGGATATCTGGTTGGCATAGATGAGTCAGACCAAAAAGGTCTGTTTCCATGCTGTATAACTTTATGATGCTATAACTCGTTCTGAAGCAGGGTCACTGGACTCAGAATGTTAACTGTTCCCTCTCCAAAGATGGTACCAGACCTGCTGAGTTTCTCCAGCAATTACTGTTTTTGTTTCAAATTTCCAGTATCCGCTGTTCTTTATTTCATTTATTTCAGAGAATTGGAGCACAAGAATAAAAAGAAACCTTGCTGAAATTTTACATGATTTTATTAGACCATAAACAGAACTCTGTTCAATTTTGGTCCCCATGTTTGAGAAAGGATACATTCGCACAGGAGGCAGTATAGCAAAGGATCACTATATTGGTTTCTAGGATGAGGGTGTCACCTATGAGGTGAAGTGAATCGGGTCTATTCTCTGGCATCTAAAAAGAATGACAGGAGATCTCACTGAAACCTTCAAAATTCTCAAAGAAACTTAATAGGATAGATACTTAGACGTTTGTTTCCCATGACTGGGGACTCTAGAACAGTTTCAACGTAAGGGGGCGATCACTTATAACGAAGTTCTTTACTCAGAGTTCTGAATCTTTAGAAATCTCTAGCCCAAAAGATTAGGAATGTTCTACCATGGAATATGCGTGATATTGAAATGCAGATTTCTAGTCTGTCATGGAATTAAAAAGGTCGGAGCTAGTGGGAAAGTAGAGTCCAAGTCCAAAGATCAGTCACAGTTAGATGGTATGCTGGAGCAGTTCAACGGATTGTATGGTCTTCTCATGTTCTTATTTTTGATCTTCTTATTCTCTCCCGAGCCTAAACCTAATTTTTTGTGCCTCCCTTCATCCCATAACTAATGGCACAGCTATTCCCATCTCTCGAATTCCCCTTCCTAAAATACCCATTTTAATATATAACAGAGTTCATTCAATACCTGAAATGTACAATACTTTCAGGAAGAAATCTGTGTCCCCATTCAACTTAAAAAAAGACAAACACCACATCAACAATTTACAAATTATAGAGAGGCAGTTTAAGTTCAAGTGTCTTCATTACCTCATAAGTCAGTGATAGAATTGAGAGGTTAACATTCAGGTCTGAACTACAAGCACTGCCATGCATGGCAACAGTTGAAGATTGATGTTCATCCTCTTCCTCAAATGATAAGTCCTTGTCAAACGTTTTTCCACCAGCAAAACCTGTTTCAGTTGCTTCTACCTAGAAATGAGACAAGGTTAATTATTGGATTTTATTTAAGAATGTTATATCATCAAAACCTGCTGTCATTATCTAGGTACAGTTCCCATAGTCGATCAGATATCAAGGAGCAAAGCTGCAAAGTAACACCACAGTGCAACAAAAATGTTTACTGTTAAACAGGGACCCAACCCCAGATTAGCTATTTCTATTAGGCTCTGAAACTTAAACGTTTTTCTGGCTGATAATACATTTAGTGGAGAAATCATAATTTCAATAATACATTCCAACTTGCCCGTCAACTATAATACGGTAAGCAATGGAGCAGTTTTCTCCATGGTCCTACTTGGCTTCCAATTCCTTTTTATGCAAAATCCAGGGAGAAAATTGTGATTTCCCATTGCCCCATCTCTTCAAAAGGTTGTGGTTCATGTTCAGATAGTTGCCTTTTCAAACAACCTCAAAAATTCAGATGATGGACAGCAATGTCCACTAATTTATCTTTGTTGAGCATACCATGCTACATGGAACTGCATGTTCCTCTTAAGATTGCTGCATAGCCATACACATGCATATCTTAAGGGAAATTTGGCTGTGCAGTCTGTTTGTTCCTCACACAGCACATCAGACTTCTACAACTACATATCTTATAGGGATTATTGATTATACAATATAAACAGCAAGTACAAACTTGTTATCTTTATAGTCATAGCATCCATTTTGACAACACAATTAATGAATTATAGGTTTTATCCATCCACGGCAAATTTTTGATAAGGTTAAGAAATAATAAAATCTAATGTCAATGACAGGATTTTTTTTTAAATGTAACATAGGGAAGGGGCAAGATTATTCAATTCCTCAAGCAAGTCTGCTATTCAGTTCAAATCACAGATGATGACAACCTTAATTCAATTCATCTATTAACCTCGATCCATTTTACCCTTAATTAATATAAATGTGTTAATCGCAGTCTTTAAAATTTCAAAACACTCAGCATCTACAGCCTCTCGGAGAATTTCACACCTGTTATTTTTCGTGTGAAAAACTGCCTACTGAAATGACGGTTGGATCACTAGTTTTAAAGCTGTGTTGCTTGTTATGGATTAGCCCACCACAGGAACAATATTTAGAACTTCCTCATATTGCCAACAGCAGCTTTGGAGAAGATACAGTATATGTATACCAGAATGCAAAGGGTTAAGTTATGAAGTTAGATTACATAAACCTGGCTGTATACCCCAAATTAAAGTGTTTAAGGGGAGATATAGTTGTGGCATATTCAAAAGAAAAATAGATCTGGCAGACTAAATATGAAAGCTCCGAAAGTCAGCCAGATTACTTAGGTGCTAAAGCAGTCCCTAAACTTCTAAAAAGGCAATCAGGAAGCAGGAACATGAATTGTTTCGAGCTTAAGCACTTTAGTATTGCGCCTCGTCACCAGCATGATTCAAGTAGAGCCCAACTCATCAGAACAGCTCCCCCCTTCCCCAGTAATGGTACAAACATTCTACGAACTCAAACTCATTTTTCCCACACCAATCTCTACATTGGTACCTACATGGACCAAGACAACTGGATCTTTCCCATCTTCTCCCCACTCCAAGTTCTTCTGAACTCAGGCACTAGTAAGGCAACATAGCCTTTGGGATTCTAGAGAACAGTGCTTGTTCTTCTGACTATACTACCCTGATTGCAATTAAATTTCTCTTTCCCCTCCCCACTAAAAACCCTACTCTCATCCACACAGGGGACAGGAATCTCATACCTTTTAGGCAAGATCAAGGACTGAGGCTCCTTCAGCACCATCTCCTGGGTCCCTCTCCCTGCCTCGCTGGTAGTCACTCCCTCCTGTCCCTGACCACTGACCAAATTTGAGACAGTTAATCTGAGGGGTAAGATTTGACTAGTCTCAACATTTGGATGTGATTACTTAAGCCTGCATCACACCACTGAACCAAAAGCCGGCATGCCCATATTTCTTGGCAAGACATGTTGTGGTCTTTGAATTATGGAAACTAGGTCAGTTGAACTGTTTGAGACAGAAATTGATAAAGGCAGACAAATAGAGGTGAATTACAAATCTGACAGTGACAATGCAATTACAAAAGTAGATGGGATTTTGGACTTCATAAATACAGCCTGAATGATAAGCAAAGATGATACGCTGAACAGTTGAGGTTAGGTCATGACAACATTGCTGGTCCAGTACAAGTCTCTGCACTGTAGGATGGACTGTAAAGATCCTTCAGAGGGTAGAGAAGATTTACTGTAATAGTTTCAGGTATTAATGAATTTTAGCTACACAGTTATGTTGGAGAAGCTCAGGTTGTTCACTTTGGAATAAAGGTGTTTGAGGGGTGATCTGAAAGAGATGCACAAGATTGTCCATCTTATTTGAACTTTTCACAAAGAAATGTAGGCCTCATTAGTGGATACAGTTTTAAGGTTTTGTGCCAGGGATACAAGGAGGATGGAAGGAAAGACTTCTATATTCAATAAGCATAATTATCTTTAACTCACTGCATGTGAGGGTGGTGGAAGAGGTGACAGTGAATAAATTCAAAAAGAAGCTGGATAGGCACCAAAGGAAAATAAAGTTGCAGGTCTGCAGTGATACAGTACGTGGGTATGGTTTGCTCTAAAGAGCGCCAGCATGGACCAAACTGATCGATTGGTTTCATTCTGTTGTTATGGCTCTGTGATTCTATAATAGATATGAACATGTAGAAAGGAAAATTTGCTGATAGTGCAATACTCTTGAAACTAAATCGGTGCAAAGTTAGCTGATCCTCACAAGCTAACGACTTTTAGCATCTGTTATATCTCAAATTACTGAGGCACTATACCCCACAACAATATATTCTGATATAAATATTGCTAATTTTACAAATGGTTAATTTTACTAATTGGAAAAGGTCAGCAGGCATGGCAGCATCTGTGAAGAGAAATCAGAGTTAACATTTCGGGTCCAGTAACCCTTCCTCAGAAATGGGTCAGCTTCCAGAATCTGCCTGGCTAGTTCATCAAATGACCATTCTCTCATTGGAATAATATTTCTGAAAATTAATTCCGAATGATTTTCTTGTAGGTCTAGGACATCTCCCCTGGTTTTACAATTTAGAGAGTCAGAGTCATGCGGCACAGAAACAGACACTTCAGACCAAGTAGTCCATGCCGAACATAATTCCAAACTAAACCAGTCCCACCTGCCTGCACTTGGCCTACATCCCTCCAAATATTCATGTACTTATTGAAAATGTTTTTTTAAACAATTTAATTGTACCCGCTTTCACCACTTCCTCTGGAAGTTCATTCCACATTGTGTAAAACAAAATTGCCATCACGTCTTTTTAAAATCTTTCTCTGCTCACATCACATGCTGCTCAGTCTTGAAATCGCCCACTTAGGGAAAAGACACCTGCCGTTAACCCTAACTATATATCTTTCATGGTTTTATAAAAACTTCTACAAAAAAGGTCCCTCAATCTCCTATGCTCCAGTGAAAAACGTCCCAACCTACCCAGCATCTCCTCATAAGCAAACCTTCCATTCCTGGCAACATCACGGTAAGTCTCTTCTGAACCCTCTCCAGCTTAATAATATCCTTCCTATAACAGGGCAACCAGAACGGGACACCGTACTCCAGAAGAAGCCTCACCAATATCTTGTACAATTTCAACATAACGTCCCTACTGTTATGCTTAAACGTCTGAGAATTGAAGACAAGGGTGCTAAATGCCTTCTTAACCACCCTAATTATATGACAAAAACTTAAAGAATTTTGTGCCTGAACCCCTCTGCTCCACAATACTACCTAAGGCCCTACTTTTAATTGTATTAATCCTGCCCTGGTTTGTTTTAGCAAAAAGCATTACCTCGCACATATTTAAATTAAACAACATCTGCCACTCTACATCCCATTGACTCATTCGAGCAAGATCTCTGTTAATTAGATAACCTTCTTTACTGTCCACTATACCAGAATTTTGGTGTCATCTGCAAACTTACTAACTATGCCTTCTATATTCTCATCCAAATCATTTATGTAAATGACAAACAAAAGCTGATCCAGCACAAATCCCTGTGGAACACTGCTGGTAATAGGCCTCCAGTCCAAAAATCAACCCTTTAGCATCACTCTGTCTCCTGACATTCATCCAATTGGCAAACTCAGCCCAAGGCCCATGGGATCTAACTTTACCAATTAGTCTATCATGCAAAACCTTGTGAAAATTTTACCAAAGCCCAAGTAAACAATGTCCACTGCTCTACCTCAATTTTCTGGGTTACTTCCTCAAAAAAAAACTCAATCAAGTTTGCCAGACACTATTTCCCTCACACTAAACTGTGCTGACTATCCCTGGCCACTCCAAATGCATATAAATGCTGCCTTTCAGAATTACTTCCAACAACTTACTCACCATCGAAGTTAGACTCGCAGGTCTACAGTTCCCAGGCTTCTCCTTACATCCCTTATTAAACAAAGGCATAACATTAGCCACTCCCCAATTATCCATCACCTCACCCGTAGTTATAGATGATGCAGAAATATTTCTCCAAGAGGTCCCGCAACTTCTTCCTCAACTTCCCACAATGTCCTGGGATACACTAGATCATGTCCCAGCGATTTATCCACTTTTATATTTTCTAATACCTCCAGCACTTCCTCTTCTGTAATGTGAACCGTTTTCAAAACATTAATATTTATTTCCCACAGTTGTTTAGCCTCCATTTTTCTCTCCACAGTAAAAACTGATGCAAAGTATTCATTTAATTTCTCTCCCATCTCCTGAGGTTCAACATAAATACAACCGCTTTGATATTTAAGGGGTCCTACTCTCTCTCTAGTTGCTCAGTTACTCTTAATGTACTTGTAGGAATCTTTGTGGATTATCCTTAACCTTATCTGCTAAGGCTATCGTATACTCACTCTTTGCCTTCCTGATCTACCTCAAGAATGAATGCCCCTACAATCTTTATACTGTTCAACAGATTCATTTGAACCCAGCTGTCTAATA